CTAACATATATCATTATATCGGSTGCATCACTGGTAATGTTATGTGATTTTCGTGTGTTTTTCCCGCTAAAACAGATAAAAAATCATTCGAATATTTTAAAATTATGTTTAAAAGATTAACGAGTACTATCTAAGTCATATAATAATAAAGGTTAATATACAAACATAAACTGTTGGTTTATGACAAATGAGGATTTTTCTGCTGGTTTTGAATTGTAATTTCAACAACCCTACATATTGGTATATTTTTATCAGTTATCGGACAAAATTTCTTTAATTATCTGTATTAGGAAATCTCCAACAGTTTCTAGCTTCAAACATGCTTTCTATTCTATGCTGACAATCTATTTACTGATTAGGGTTCATGGCAAGAGTCTTGGATAGGGTATACATTTCATCAATTTGTCTTGAAAGGGTCTTCTGGGTAACAACAAAACGTGCTTGTTCGTATCTGGATTAAGTAGCTCCTCCGTTTAACTAAAGTCAAATATCGCTTCCCTACTAGTYCTTTAGGCACATGTTCTGTTTAAACATCATCAAGATGTTAGCATTTTCGGTATTCCTTTCCAGGTTTAGTCTTGCATTAGGGACTGCACAATAATTATCAGGCTGGGGGTTGAGCATCCACAGGGGGGTTATAATGGAACTTATGACCTGAAAGACGGGRCCAACATCCATGATAATCAACAAAGGATAGAGAAGTGGTGACATCTAACTTTAATTTGAAACCGATTACAAAACTCAACAAACCAGTAACTAGTATTGATAACTAGATTTGACGACCGTTCAATACTGTGAAAACTGAGGCTGACCTCAACTCATTATGTACCAAAGCCTGACTCAAATTTACGGCGACTCCTCCGGGACACATGAACACAAAAAGTCTCTGAGTGGGGGGTGGGGGGCATGTACAGAAATATTCAGACACATAACGGGAACAACATCGATGAGTGCATACGGTGAACACGTGTGGACGTTATTATCATCATATGAAAATAGAAATTTTCTGACGTTAGCCCAGAAATATGCARAAAGGTACAGGAAAAACAAATTATTTTAACCAAACCCAGTTCAAATTTCAAATGCTTATAACTTAAAAAAGAAATAAAAATCAAATTTTTGGCATGATAGATATAATAAAAAGCTGCATGGCCTCTGGGCAGGTCATTCATACTTTCAGCAACACAGGAACTACACTGCTGTCTTCAGCTCGCTGACGATGACTGTTGTTTGTCTCAGCGATCAAGGAAGTATTAATTGCTGCCAAGAGTTGATTAAAATCTGACATGCTAGGATCGGCTTAGAGTATTTGCCTGGACGTAACTTTTAAACTACGTCATAATGCTATATATATAAACGGACATTCCAACTGGCACCTCAAAAAGTCCTATAACCGTTAAGAGGTAAGTCGGTATCACTTGATGGTTTTGTTAATATGATAAATTAAATGACGAAATTCAAGAAATACAGATTATGATAGCAAACCATGGATTTTATGTACAAGGCCTTTAGTTTCTATTATCATATATTGTATCGTATTTCCTTCTTTTGGATGATTGGTAAGCTAGACATTGCGACTCAGCTTATTGCAAAAACTCATCCCATCAGTTCGTGTTGAGAGTTATAACTAGAGACCGCTAGCATCATCCTTATTTGGTCTTAACTATCACCATTTTCTTAACTGAAAAACTTGTGGGTGACTCTCTGTTTTTTCTTTTCCCCCCTTCTTAGTTCCTATCCTCCTAATACGCTGTAGGTGATAGGGGATGGGGGAATATTTGTCTGGGATAGGGTTATTACAATTTGATCGTAGAGGTAGGTCTTGGGTCGGTTTTAGCCCAGAATAAGTTACGCTTTCGGTCGACACAAAAGCAATCCAAATTCCATTTAAANGCACACCCTTGCTCACCCAAGTTTATAAAGCAAGGGGCAGAAATGATTTATATATCAAAATTATTACTTGATATGCAGACATTTGATTCAAGTATTGAAGTGAATTTCATTGAAGATCGCATTCGAGATGAAGCTCATAACTTTTTTGATGGTTGGGCTATTGGGAATGTTAGTAGTGCCAAACCTGACCGACGCAGGTARAGATTTTATGCTAAAATGAGTTCGTGTCATAGTTGTATATAATGCGCGTGTGAGTTTTTCCCTTCCTGATCAAGCCAGTCTATTGCTGTTATATTTGATGTTCTTATCTTCGACTGAAGCATGATTTATTTGTCTGTATCAGTTCGCGAGTTGTGTTTGTGCTGCTTGTACTTTTTTGCATCATGTTTGATTCTTTTCACATGTCCATTTGGTCAGCATGTTCATGTTCTTCCTGTGATTAAAAATACCGTCCTTTGTACTTTCCCTTGTACAGGTTCTTGCAGTTCTACCCAAACAATTCGAAGGGTTTATGTCATACGCCGTAACCTGTCGTTCTCCATATTCAAATGGTGTGCACTTGCTCATTCGGGATTGATCCTGGAGATGACAGATGGAAAACAATGTGTACTTGAATACATGGGTAACAGCAGAACGTATCTATACGACGCGAATCCTACGTCCACTACAAGTTGTTGGATCAAAAGATGCAAGGTAATGCTCAAAAACTACTAGTCTACTTAGTACACTGTGGAATTACTAACACCAATACTAATACTATAGTATAGTCAAACTACGGTTTTACCTAGAACAAATTGCAACAGAAACTAAACACGAATCTTAAGTAATGTCATAAGAAACAACATATTAAAAATCATATTTAATCCGAGTGGTGCAACACATTCAAAATTGCCATTTTGTGCAGCCTTCTCTCTCCTTTAACATGAAAACGAGGCTAAAGCCGGAAAAATAGCAAAACTAGCGTCTTTTGAACTGATAATTGCGCAAACATTCTCAATAAAAAAATATCGGTCATCAAGATAGTGGCCATTAAGATAGTGTTTGAAGTCAGGGGGGTGGATGTCTTTAAATAGTTAAAAAATGAATGGATGATATTTTGGTTATTTTTATTTCTTTCAAACAATATCAAAAATACACAATACATATCAAAAATACACAATACATATCAAAAGGGTGTCGGGAAAAAAAACTGACTACTGTAATGGCAATTGTCGAACGGAGATTTCACAACCGATAGGATCCATTGATGGGCAATAATACACCTTTTGCTGTTCATGTGCGCAAAATATACATTCATTTACATCAGCAGTAAAAACAACAGGGCGAAGAAACATTCATTTATAGCATTATCTGATGTGTTAATAACGCCAAGAAACATTCAATTACGTGATTTACATATGCAGTGCCATTCAATAGCATTAACGGATAAACAATTGCATCTTTGGACAATCAAATCACCACCGAACATTTCTGAGTGGAATACGAATCGGCAAATGGTGTTACCTGATCACCTTGAATACCCCTTCTGTTGCAATTTGTTCTAGGTTGACTTACTTTTTTCGAATTATATTTTTAGAAACTTGTTATGGCAGATGAAGATGGCAAAGAATATACATGGACTCGTCAGAAGTATGGTACTAGTACCGCTAGGTACCCTTCAGCGCGAATTACACCACAGAAAGCCAAACAACGAATGAAAGAGCTGATGCAATCTTCTACGTACAACCTGTTAAGCCACAATTGCCACATAGCACAGGAAAAATTACGCAGAGACTGGGGCATGACAGTTCCCAGGGCTTACACTCCTAATGTCCAATCTATATGCAGTTGCAGCCTTCCTCCTTGGTTACCAGGACAACTGGGCAAATTTCTTCGTCTTGTCAAAGCTTACTGCCGTTTTAGACGAGGATGAAAGGTAAGACGAGTTGACACAGAAAAATATGCGCTTATGATTGATGTTTATTAATGTCGTCAATTCGTTGTTTTAGAGTACTGCAAAAGCAAGTACCAATATCTAGACTGGTTAAACTGGTTATTTTCAAAGATAGCTCTGCAGGCTGAAGACTAAAGTAGAAGWTATTTTTTTAAACTGCATGATCTCTAATTTTTATGGTTATATTTAGTTGGTTTTTATGTAATCAATTCCTTTATGCGCAAATGTAAATGTCTTTTTTGACTATCAATAAATGGACATTCTATCTCACGCCGCAGTCTAACAAGACAACAAAAGCGCTGCAAAATACATGTGCACGGAAGAAAAATGACAAAATACAATATATATAGATAAACACCATAACCATACATAACCCATGAGTGACCCCATTAATGTTTAAAGCCCCAAAACTGAAAAAGCTCACACCAAATTCAATTGTTAAACTCTTTAGTTTGCCAGTGTTATTGCTTTCTATAACAATATCAAAAATACACAATACATAACAAAAGGGTGTCATGATGTATTGTAAATATCATTCTGCATACCCTACTAAGATATCTAAGCATTTCTTAGATATATCKAATATATCTGCATTTGTGCATACCTATTTAAAAAAAAGACAATGTCGGATAAAAATAATAATACCCACGGKGGGTGKGGGGGACACTCCGGAGTAAAAAYTTCGGGATGCTCGTCGATCGGATCACTTAGGGGTAAACATTCGTGATTGGGAATCTTTTAGGGTTCCAATTGGAAGTTTCTGGAAATTCGCATTTTCTGCAATCTCTTAGGGTGTCGGAAGAGAAGAGAAAGATCGCATCGATATTGATTTTTCTCTGCGTTTTGTTTTGTCATTAAACATTTTAGACATTTCATCATTGGGACTGATATATTAATTTTTCAATTGTTAAAACAATATTTAAAATTATATTTTACAGTTTATATTTTAAAAGAAAGAAAAAAGAATTGTTTAGAAGTGTTCGATTTAACAAATCGAGTCCGCAATTTACAGACAAAGATTTGTAAAATAATTTTAGAAGACAATTAAATAAAGTGATAAGTCAAATACTGGACCAAAGTTGAAACGATTCACGACGTTTCGATCGATTACACAATAAAACCCTGGTTGGTGATTCAACTGGTCATTCTACCTGAGGAAGATCGGTGTAATCGATCGAAACGTCGTGAATCGTTTCAACTTTGGTCCAGTATTTGACTTATCACTTTATTTAATTATCACGACTGGATGACGAATTTACACTTAAATTTTAGAAGACATTTTTAATGCTTGATCTGATATGCGCAAAATTTACAAGATCTTTAAAGAATTATATACTAAACGCTCTTTAACTYTATGACTTTTCTAACAGAATTTTTCAAAAAAATCGATTGCCTGACAGGTTTTTCGTAACACTTCGTCAGTCAGGCAATCGAAAAATCTCAAAGTTCTAAGCTTGTGTACAATGTCAGGGACGTCGGAGACGAGGGGGATAAGGGGCTATAGTCTCCCCAACTTTTTCATTCTGAAAATAAAAATTAAGAAATCAACGTAAAGTATACTCCTATTGAATGTTTTTTTGTTTTGTTTTGTTTTTGTCTTAATGATAAAATACTTCGATCGCTTTTTTTTATGTTAGTAGCCCCCCCCCCCCGCTAAAAAAAAACGTTCCGACGTCCTTGAATAAGAATTTACTGTGATAAGAATTTACATCGTTCATCTCGAAACCAAACGTGATATATATTCTTGTTTGCATCGTTTGCATGACTAAAGTAAACAATTGTATTTGTTAGAGCACTAAAAAGTTMTTTTAAACACTTTCGATATGAGTCACTTTCGAAACGTCGCCAACTCAGTCGACCAAATTGAAAAGGAAAGGTACGTTTGACTTTGTCTGTATGATTCTCACATATACATTTAATTGTTCTCTTTTCTAAATGTTTTATATACATATCTATGTTCGCGTGGTTGTTTCTTTTTTTGCGAAAGTTACTCTAAGCCGTCAGAGCTATAAAGGGAGAAATCATTATTAAGAAATATATGAATTCTATTGAATTTTTTACAATAAATAAAGTCAATGCATATCTTCTGGCAGATTGATATATTGGATTTATTATTTTATTAGTTTGTTGGATTGTCATTTGCTTAGTGTTCTGCGAACTAGTGAATAGATTGCGATGGTTTTTACGGCTTCCAGTGTCACGCCAAAAATAGACTTTCAGGAAGAAAAAATTTCAAACGACCTTCGAAGTAGCTCAACACAACGGTTTTTACCATAGAAACCATTAACATATGGTCCGATCCAATAAGTGTTAAAAAAGAACAAAACGCAAACGAACATCGATGTCTCGTGACGCAACGATTTAGTTTCCTCTGTATTAGCAAGAAAAATCATCATTCAGAATTAGAGCATTTATGTTTTATCATTAAAAGTAATTTATTAAAATTACAACAGAAATGGTTTTCTTCTGTACAAATGATCCATTTCTACATTTCTCTTAGACGCAACGTTTAAACACGTATTCGTGCAATTTTTCCTGAATTAAACTTGGCTGCCTCGACTAAATTAAGAACTAAGATTAGCAAATATTTATTTGTGCTTATCTCCCCTCTCAGTAGCAAATAGTACAAGAGGTTTTCTTCTAACCCTGTCTAACACCACACGAAAAATCCAAGATGAAGGGAATTGCAGGGATCTTGATGATTAGTTGGATTATGGCGGCCATTCTTCCTCAAAATACGGAAGGTATGTACACGTAATAAAATACAAATTTTCATGTGTAAAGCTCACCCATTAGGGGCGGCGGAGCCGGAGGGGGGTTACGTTCCTGCCTCCCCCCCCATAATGACATCGAAACATTCAATATGCCATTTATTTTGTCATAGTAAAATGCATTTTCAAAAGCTGATGTGGCGTCATCACTAYAAGTGACTAGACTATAGGTCTATGATTGTGCCCCTCCCCAAGTCAATTTTGGCTCCGCCACACTTGAACCAAAGACAATATTGTGCTAAATGAGAAAAAAGAAAAAGTCAACGCCGATCCTCAATCAACACGACGAATTGGACCCAGTCGCTATGTCAAGCTAGTCATTTCTGACTGTTTCACTATGATTGCAAACTTTTTATTTCAACTTTTTCTACTTTGAAATAAACTTAGTTTGTAATGTACCTTTGAAGATGCTTTTATTTCGTCTTTTGTTTCYTACAGGTCGATGTAGCTCGAGCCAAACTATACGACGAGTGTACGTGRTTCGTCGCAGTTTGCATCTGTTTGATTGGGTTATCAATTGGTGTGTTATTGCTCACTCGGGACTCATCCTAGAGATGAGTGATGGTAAGCAATGTGTCCTGGAGTACATGGAGGACGGTAGAAGTCATTTGTACGATGCAAATCCAACCTCTACAAGAAACTGCTGGTTTTCAAGTTGTAAGGTATCATGGGGGTTTTCTCAAAAAAAWTTGACAATAATGATAGGGAACGCAGTGCCGGACTCGAGTAAAGTACCGTCSATTGTCGAGTRCYCGATCTCGATATAGATTGCTAGTTCGACTATATAGTGCACAATCAAGTTTAATGAGCCAGTCAGTCAGTAAATCAACGATGTAATTATTACTAGACATAAACACACATTGTACAGTAACAGAATCGAAGATTGTGGGATTAACACTATTTCGATTTTTTACCAGAAACTTCAAATGAAGGATGACAAGGGTATTTCGTACGAGTGGACGCGGCAAAGGTATGGGCTTAGTACCGCTACGTACCCACTGGCCAAGGTGTCACCACAGGAAGCCCAAAGGCAGATGCAATCAATGATGGGAACAARGTACGACCTAATCAAAAATAACTGCCATGTTGCTCAGGAGGGGCTGCGAAAGAGTTGGAAGATGAAGGTWGACAAGCAATACAAACCAAGCCTGAAGTCTATATGTGGTTGCAAGTTGCCGAGCTGGYTGCGAAAGTCGTTCAAAGGATTGTTAGCTGAGCTGGTGAAAGATTATTGTAAGCAGAAATCTGCATAAAGTATTGCATGAAATGTATTAAAAGTATTGCTATCAATAAATATATACTAGATTAATAGTTATAGTTTTTGATACATACTAGAGGGAGCGTAGAGGTTGACGGTTATCGAGTTATTTTCAGTACGGTATCACGGTAATTTCTATTTCAGAATCCGCTGTACTCAAGTATCGAGATCCATAATCATGAAGCTTAACTTCATTAGGATGTGATATCATGTTCTTTATTTAGWGGAAAAAATGTTGCGATGTAATACACTTTGAGTTCAAAGAAGACAATGATCCCGGGGGAGTACTTGATTCGGACTGGGATGTTAACGTTCCGCTGGTACCTCTAAATATTAGAGAGGTTTAGCATGACGTTCACGGCAAACGGCAAACGGCAGAAAAGATCACGTGACCTGCTTTTTTTGAGTTTAACGTTGCAGTTTCAACGCGCGAGAGGGTTATTTTGGGGTTGCTATAATCGTGAAAAGTCGCTCTTTCAAATGAATACCAAAAGCACAAGGTCGGGCACGAAATTCTTAGGTCATTGGTTTAGCTCTGCCGTTAGCCGTTTGCCGTCAACGTGATGCTAAAACTCTCTATTTGCCATCTGAACACCTCAAGGGCCCTTAGGCCTCGTTCCCATCCCTTTGTTTTCTGTTGTTTTCAATTCACTTCCGGCTTACGTCGTAAGCATTCAAGACAGCGCAAAATCGTGAAATTCCACATCCTACTCAAGACAATTGGTAAAATGTAGATCCTATCCAAGACATAAACAAGATAGCGTTTTCGTAAAAGATGTCAATATGTCATGTTTTTTTCATTTTGACTTTTAAAGGAGAACTCTTCAAATTAACCTTATAGTTATTGGATCAATCGAAGTCCCTTCTCAAAGATTACCAAGGGATTTTTGGCGTATTTTCAACGACAAGAGAGAAATATGCGTTGAAACTAAAGAAAATTACTGACATGAATGACGCCATCTTGGCAGGCTCATATATCAGCGGTGACTACCATGGTGACGTAGTTGCGCGGTTCATGTCACCAAAACAAAGAACTTTTCACTTTCCAGAGGGAAAATATATTGTTTTGAGTATGAATTCCTGTCTCTTTTGTCTTTTTCGATCCAGTATTGCATTGGCCTTCAACAATACAATTCCGTGGAGCCGAAACCGGCGCAGCAGTAAACATTATGGCAAAAAAGTTAAACTTCAAGAACGTTCCATTGAATTTCTAAAATCTTGGCCAGATTGTGTCTTATGTCGAATTAAAACGGAACAATCGGATGCGTCAATTTTCAAAGGGGGAATTTGCCTTGTTCTAACTTACTAAACTTAGAAATATGCAAATGATAAAAAGGACAGTCAAATATGCAAATTGTATTGAGAGTAAAGTTTATTTCTCGATGTTCTCTTCGTGTATATTATTAGATTCCCATCTTTTTAGACTTTTTTAACTTGATAATGACGTTAGCAACGTCAAAACGTCGACTTAATGARCTAAGGGGTTCTCTTGCAGTCCCTTCCTTTTTCTCCTCAATATTCTCCACTCGGCCCTCTCCAATCCTTTTAAGGCCTCCTCTACGCAATAAACGATAGCATACATACATACATATTTTATTTAGAGCTTTGCACACAAAGGTACATCAACTTAATCCCAAACAAGATAAGAAAACTAACAGATAAATACGACATACTTGTGTCAGAGTAACAAAAAGACTGTAAATATAACCTACATTATTATACTTGTTGGATTAAATATACGTGTACAAAATATTTTGTATTGATATTAAATAATCTTTTTCCAGGTTGCCATTACCATATTTCTTTCCTACTTCGCAAAGCAAAACAATCATAAACATACTTGCCTGCTTGCGTTTGTAATTTATTTGGAGGATCNGCATTCCGATGAGATCACAGATACCACATTTGTAAACGAATAGTTTTTTTGTCATATAAAAGCCAAGTAGCATATAACATTTACTAACGATATTCGTACATCAATACGCTTGAGCTTCCGGTCATGTAATAACACAGCCAACCCAATAGTTAATTATTAAATTCTTAACTTCCGGTGGTCCAAACGCGACATAATACATAGATAGATAGACTAAAAGGTAAATTTAAAGTCGGACCGCCTTCGGCTAGTCCGACTAATAAGAGTCGAAAATAGACTTTTAGTGTTTGGTCCCTAGTTCAGTATGACATCTGACATGCACCCGGTATGGCGATCATTGAATGATGGCTGCCTGTTACCAGGAATGTCAATTATCCCTCATTTTCAAAAATTCACAATAAAAATTCATCGTGTTGGTGACTCCTTGTTATATAGAATCTGAGGTTTGCTAAACATAAAAGAAGACATTGTCTTGCTGCTGGTCCTTTGGCTTAAGCACAACAAGCGGCGGCGATAGCCAACAAATCATCGACGTTCAAAAAAACTTTGTTTGAAATTCTATAAAATCTATTTCACTATTGCAACTTTTCACGATTCTACGACAATTATATCGCGAAGATTTATTGGAATTGAATAGTCGCTATTATTGAAAAAAGTTTTTTTGAAAAATGTCAATGATAAATCGTGGATTTCGTCACGTTTTTGGCAGTTGTTTCCTTTATTTTTTTCATCTTTTGGACTGTCAGTGGGAAGTACAGCTTTTGAAAACGTCCTTAAGTAGTTTACCTGCTCTTCTTTTTTAGCCGATTRAACTAATTTGTTGAAAGTTGACATGTTATTTTCAAGGATATATCATCAGAAGATGACAGTAATTCGAGTTATTTTAATTTGTGCAATCAGCACCGTGTGATTAACTTTGTTTCTAAGGTACTATTAAAGACCTGCTTGCCCAAATGCAAATTATTTCCATTTACTCTTTGTTCAAACTCTGCCAATATGAAAAAGGATGTTTTGTTTACTTTTTGACTGTTAAACTTCCAAGTCTTTATTTAAATTCTCTACATGAACCCTGCCTGGAAGCGGATAAATCAAGCGATGTTTAATTATTCAGAAATGTTCTGTTGTGTCAAGTCATGCGACTCCCACTCGATTAATAAGGAATATGATAATACAAACATTTGATATTGCTTCCATGACGAAACGAATTTCTCTAAATCACATCGTTAATTTCTCTATATCGAACATATTTTTTTCTGTAATATTTAGTAATATGGATGGTAGTTGTTTTGAATAACATCAACGATGCTCTACTTACATATTGCTCTGTCTTTCATTCTRTTTTTACATCTTGTCGAAGGTAAGTACGAAACAAACATATATCATTGTAGATTTAAAAAAAATTTGATTGGCGATATATGTACTTTTTGATATATTTTTAACTTGCTTCTCGTTATATATAAGCTTTCAAAGTTTGATAATTTCACAAACACAAGAGATCTAGACTTTAGACTAAAACATTGTAAACAATAAACTCAATTTATTCATAGAAATCACATGAAGTGAGAGTGTAGGATAACTAGTTTTAATTTTCATATTCAAATAATACTGGTATGGATGATTTTGGCTTAGTTTTGAACACACTTTAATGGTCTATAATATCCGGTTTTCACTGTGTGCATTTTTGTAATAAGAGAGAYTTTGCTAGAACATGGAAAACACGAGAAACTATTTGCAGATACAACCTGTTTATTAACCTTATCAATTCAAATATTTAGAAACTAAGAAAATTCATTTGTTTAGTTCTTTTGGGCAGTTAATTTACATTCATAAACCTTGCAAACCATGTTCTTTGGAATGTTTTAACATTAAAATGCGTCTTTCGAGCTCATTGGAATTCATATGTCATATTTTAAATGAATTMSATATTGGCTTCGATTTACGATTGACTAGTCTCCTTAGAAACCGTTATAAGTAACGGAGTGGAACCTGGGACCGATACAGTAATGGMATGGAGAGGGACCTGAAATGAAACGAGTTCAAATTCTCTTCAGTATGTAACAAATTTGCATAGTCTCGTATCACCTCATCAAGTCATTTGCTAAGTTCACTTTTACAGGTTACTTTAATTAATCAAAAAGGTAGAGTTGCATTCAACGTCGTGCAAATTGTTTTAMGCCTTCTTCCTGTTAACAACTTCCCGCGTGAATCCACAAGTTAACTTCTTCTTAAAACATGAGTTTCTTTTTGATCTAAAGTAGAGGATATTGGTCGGTTCGATTGAAATCAAACATTCATCGGAAGTTAAAGAGTTAAGGTGAAAAAATACGTAAGATCGTCTTGTACAGTTTGCTGTGATGTGAAGTTCGAGCTGATTTAATAAGTAGTGTTCGCATCGCAATAAAAGATGTCGTGTTGACTTTTCTAAGGCTCAGTATCCTTGAGATAGTAGTACTAGATAATCTGCATTCTATATTGCTATTGGAGCTCCGCTATTAGGTATTTCCTAATTTTTATATTTTAATGATATGAGTTTTACTCAAGAAAGTGAATAACTAAGTAMTTGACGCTTTTTCAAAAATTATTGTGTTATTTGACATGTGACTTGCTCATGTGACTTATAAGTGCTCTTTTACGAACAACACAGGAYAGATACAGGAAGGTGTCAGAATTTCCGATTGTATATAATATGTTCTTTGTAGTTGAAAACTATGTTAAGATGCAAATCTTAAGTGTTAACTCTTTTAGAAATTTTGTTAAAGTGCATATATTGGTTCATCAATTTTTCTTTTAAATGCCAGTTTGGACATTAAAAATCACATAATCAAAGAAAATATACGATACTATATAAATTTCGTATATTTCTAAGCTTTCAAACTGCGGAATGAGCTGATAAAAGTCGAGCGTTATGGAGGCSTGGTACTAGTCCGTCCAGTGACGTCATTCACGGAACAAGCTTACTGTAAACAACACTAAACTTCACAGAAGTGATCTTTAAAACGACTGATTTTTTCTTGAAAAAAGACATGTCTGATTGCAGCAGTGAATGTAGTGACTATAGTTACATTTCTGAATAATTATGAAGTTGAATCTGTAAACCGATCAATGYGCAAATGACCACTTTATCGAGGACGACTTCGAAGCATCCTGAAGTATATCACGACATGAACGCTTTAGAGTACAGCAACGAACCGATTGCAGATGAAGAGTGGCTAGCTGAGTATTAAAATAAAAAGGTTTTATGTGCGGACGTGAAAACTTCGCCAATGTTGTTGAGAAATGTAGTTACATGACCCAGTTTTTGCTTGCAATAACATCCCGACTCCATTACTGCGCGTGATAGTGTAATAACTCTTTTCGCGGTTAGGAACAAATTGCGCGAGCCGGGCACCTGTGGTTTGCACCAAAGCGAGGCAAAATCGGGCAACAACCCAAAAACTTTGAGCTTGTTTATCATATTGTCAGCAAAGTAATTTTTGTTGGCGAAAAATGTGATCCACCTAGTAGAAAGTCAAAACATCGGTCTTTGACAGGTAATATTATACGTATTTCATCATTTTATATCCTTTCTAGCAGTAATTGAACACACCAAATCGATTCATGTTGGTATTTCTTGCATATAGCCGCAGATATCCTGATTATTTGACGTTTAAGATAGCACAATTTACCGAGCTGTTCTCTGACATAAAGTGTATTTGTGTAAAGTCTCAGCATTTTCGAAACGAATGCTTCACTAACACACAAAGTACTACAAAATTCTGAAATACTTAGCCCTCTTCGTTTGAAGAATTATCACTCTTCAACGCAAAGAATTTGAAAGCGCTTTGACCATTCTTGGCTAGTTTTGTCGATATTCGAGGAAACCAATTCATGTTGGGGGTGGAGCTATCCAATGGTAGTCATGGAAATGTCTATGATTGACATCGGTAAAATGCATGAATCCAGCAGGATGTTCGACTCCCTACGTGTTATCCGTAACGGCTGAGATAAACACAAGAAGCCTTATCCTTATTTATTTAATTTCACCAGTCCAAAATTTGTGACCCTCCCCTAAAGCTCATTTGAAAAMATTMAACCCTCCCCAAACACACATCCSAAAAAATGTGGCCCTCCCCACAAATTTAGTGGCCCTCCCCCCAATAAATAATGATAACTCCCTTAGTTAAATAGCAAACGTTTTTAACGTCAGGTTATGTTTTAGTCTATATTTCAATAATSCAATTAGATTAATTTAATAACCCTGCAATCTTCCTATAAATATCGCTGATCGTCGACCGCGGTAGCAAAATGTCCACGATTCCTTTTAATGTCACCAAAATAACAAAACGAAGATTAGTCACCCAGCGGAATAAATGATAAATATGTTAATATTACCTTTAAAACGATGAAWAGCTATTAGTCCAATGAGCATCGAACTATTGGGTCACATGATGGGCCTTTATATCCCGATATCATTCTGTAAAGAGGTTAGTAGATAGTATCGAACTAGTTCAAGTTTTAGTGCAATTTCCAATATCATCAACAGGGAACATCATTTTTGATAACAATAWCGCACTTCAATCAGCCTCGAAAGAAGAAGAATTGCCTGTTGGTAAGTCCAATTTGAATATTTCAACAATGATATATATATATATTAATGTTTTTGTGTGTGTTTTTAAGGTACATTCATCATTCAAGCCTTAACAAACAAGCAAGTGGACAGTTTTGACATATCAGGAACTGCTGCCACCTATTTTGCAATCAACAACACAGGWCATATATCAATCAAGCAGAGAATTGATCGAGAGGTACTTTCACTATGAAAATGCTCTGTGAATAACAGGGGGAGCGGACCGGGTTACTCCCTCCTACTTATGGAGGGGAAGATCGTCGGAATTTTTCAAAAATAACCCTAAAAGTTACAAAAATGTTATAAAGGTGGGCATGTGGGAATGGCAACATTCTAACATTGTTCAAGAGCCATAAACGGTGCGAATGGGGTTGAGGTTTCCACATATCAGTTAACAGCTAAATTTTCGCAATTTTCTCTGTTATCAGTTAAATATTTCGGTTCTCAGTTAAGTCGAACGTTGTTAATTATTCTTGTACATATTGTACAAGTGAATCCATGCTGAAAACATTACTTTACACTGGCAAAATGAATTTACAGGCTTTAGCTTATTCYTTATCATAGAAATGATTTTTTGTGTTAGTTACACTTCATATACTAATGAATTACACTTACAAATTTGACAGGCTCTGATTTCTGAGAGAATAACTGGCACTATAACAGCTAAAATCAACACACCTCCAACAACGGTAAGCAATATGCATATTTGCGCAAGCTCTATACCGCAGGGCGAAGATATATTCTCAGTGGCCCGTATTGGTTGACTAATCACACACATAAGAACTTTAAAAAAGACGAGACAGATTGGAAGCAATAGATTATTGTTAAGTTTCTTAGGTGTCTTTAGTCTTTAGGTGTTTCAACATTCATGTAAAATACAAAAAACACAGGTKGTCCTTTTTTGTTTCCCTGTATTATCAAATCATTATTCTAGGCACAAGAGTAGGCAGCCATAGTAGATATTGTTACGACTACGAATTCCTCAAGTAGCCAATAGATACATAGGTCACACAGATGAATAGATAACTTTACATAACGTACAGGTAAAGCAAATTTTGCTTTATATAACCCGAAGTTTACACGGTGACGAAAATTTAATCTCGATTTCTCATGTCGGTTACTCTAACTTACKCGTACGATTTTCACACATGTTGAATTTTGTTGTACCATGTTAATCATATTGACTATGCTGGRATATTGCAGGRAGTCACTCAATTTGCATGTGTAATAACTGACATCAACGATAATGTACCATCATTCCCAAAAAGGCTCTACGAAGTTTCAACCAGTGAGGTGATTATCTAACTTTTTATCAAAATTGCAGCGATTGCAGCGATTATATATAATGTCACAAAATTCTTATCATAATCTGCGCAATTTTTTTTCCTTCGATTTCAGGCTACATCGGTTGGTGTTGTGATATTTTCCCAAAGTGCAGTTGATGGCGATGCTACTTCCAATTCGAATCTGCTGTACAGCATAGTCAGCGGCAATGATGTGAGCATTGAAATATTGCTTCGTTAATTACTGATGTCAAAAGGCTAAGTGCTAGGCTATTTACATACAATACGTGATAGTTATGTTGGAAACAATAATAATAATTTTTACCTTCACACCTATTGTTTACAACATAACTATCACGTATTGTATGTAAATAGCCTAGCACTTAGCCTTTTGTTCTATACCATGTATATATATCTAGATTATAGGAATGTTTATCATTAAATACTGTCTGATGAGTGCGTAGCACGAAACTCGGAGTTACAGCAAAATCTTGCCTCTTTSATATTATATATATATGAATAACTAAATGTTTTAATTGCTAAAAATACGCAAAAAGTTGTTGCTTTTCGCTACTCGAGGACTATGAAAAATAGACCCCGATAAGCGTAGCCAATCAGAACGAAGGATTKGCAATAGTCCACTAGTATGGTAAAAATACTAAATGATAGTCTATCATTTGAATTTTTAGGGTGGAAAATTCGCAATTGATGGCACTGGTAAAGTAAGCATCTCATCGAAGCTKGATTATGAACAACAAATAGAATACACACTCAACATAACCGTACGGGTAAGAAATAAACCTGGCTATAGGTGGGCGTACGATGACGTAGTTTGTTTACATCCATAATATAAAATTAAAAAAATAAGCTGAACTCATACAATTCAAGATTATATTACTCTCAACAAAWCCTAAAAATTTTAGGGCAAACGCCRTTTTACATTTCGAGATATCGGTATTTCAAAACTACAAAATGCCAACCACGGTTATTTCTTTAGAAAACCTTGCAGTCCTTGCAAATTCGGCGCTTAATATCTCTTGAAATATTTAAACAATTGCCTTCAAATTTGCAAGAATTGTTAACAGGTATGAGTTCTTTTCGTTTATGGGTTGGATTTTCTTGTGTCTTGAAATTCGATTTCTGACTTTTATGCAAACTAGCTAAAACGTAAACATTGGCGCCCACCTATAGTAACCGGCAGTCTAATATAAAAGACTGTTTTGACAAACTGAGTTTTATGGCTTTTATGATACAGTTATGTCCCACTTAGTAAAGTGTTCGTTTTTCCCTGGATTATTTTTTGTCTGATTTAATTTATGTGTATTTTTCTAAACCCAAAATGGATTTTCTCTCGTCAAAAACGTCTTTCTCGACTTTGTTTTCAGGATCWGCCAGGTCTGAGTAACTGGACTATTTTAGTTGTTAATATTGCTGATCAAGATGACTTGCCTGCAAAGTTTACAGCATTCAATTATTTTGGTTCATTGGCAGAAGATGCCACACTGGTCAGTATTAAGACCTYATTGAATATGMTTAGCAATCCAAGTCTGAAGCATTTTCTGATACTTACTTCTGTACCTTATCGATGATAATTAAACAGCATGAATTAGGTTACACCTCACACCTTGAGATTGATAATTTTATTGTAGAAAAAGTTTTTTGCATTGTTTAAAAAGAATTTGGTTTCACCTAATAACGGAGCTCCGATAGAGGAAAATCTGTATTCTTCAAAACGGCTTCGACTTTAATGACTTATCAAAACAACGCAGGTTGATTATGAAGTTAAAAGTGCCGTCATAGAGTACAAACAATAAAACTGTGCAACATAAATACCACTAAATACTGCTAAATTATGCGAATTCTATTGTTTTCTATTGTTTAATTAACACTATTTTGTAGTAAAAAGTGGAAAGTGTTGCACAYATTTAATGTTTGTACTCTAGTAAAATGTTTAAATTAGTTTATATACTGGCTTAGTATTTTTTTAACAAATTTATCTCTCTTGAATCTTTATAGGGAACGCCAATCCTCCAGGTTAAGGCGAATGATCTTGATAAAGGCATCAACAGTTCAGTAAACTATACAATTGACCAAGGTAAAATATATTGAAAAATTGCATGGCCATGACTTGTTTTCAGTTTTTCTTTTTTTTAGGGTTAGGTTTTTTATGTAATGTTTAAAGGCCGACAATGAGGACTTGACGGGGTTTCAAAGTCCGCGCAATTAGTTCCAGTCCGAGGCGCTAGCCGAGGACTGGAACTAATTGCAAGGACTTTGAAATCCCGTCAAGTCCGAATTGGAGGCCTTTGAACGACTTCAAAAACTCATTAATTATTCGGGAGGGAAAAAAAGCGAAGGAAATACATATAACAGAAATATATTGATTTATTGCATCTCCACTAAGGTTTTCAGTTTTCATAATTTTGAATGCATGAAGCACCGTTTGTTGTTCTTCAATTCCCGGACGGCTTTCTGAAACAAAAGCTATTCAAATTGTCTTTGTCTGCTATTCATGGCATTCCTAATGAGTCTAATCCATAAGATTTATAAGTATGTTATCTTCCGAGGAATCGCATCAGAAACTCGGTGGCGTAATGGTATAAGACGGCGCATATAGACTGGACGGTAGGGGATCGAGTCGTGAGGGAGTCATGTATCAAAGACCTTTTTTCACTAAATTAATGTTAAACTGATTATTTCTAATAATTTGATTATCATTAGCTAGTAGTAGTTGGAAACATGGTAGAAGTAACTGGAAATAAGGTAGAAGTAACTGGAAATAATGTAGAAGTAACTTGAAAAAGGTAGAAGTAACTGGAAATAAGGTAGAATACAAGGTACGAGTACTTCCTCTGGTTTCAAGTTACTTCACGTGGTACAAATTACAAACAGGGATTGGCTGAATACCTCATGAATAATTAATGAGTTTTTGAAG